TGGAATTGTATGCCATTTTTGCGCAAATACGTTTGCTTCTATGCCTGCACATTTGGGGTTGTCTCGGACCCCTTATCCAAGCTATACGAAAATTTTGATACACCTACCCCTTATTCCCCCGACCCAACTTTGGCTATGCCGATCCACCAACATAAAAAAAACTGTTTTTTTTTTGGGGGTCCCGGGTCATGTTGACTACAGGGCAATGAAAGGCAACACTCTGCGGGGGTCAGCAGTACAAAACCCCACCCGTTTCATATAGAGGGTTTCCATTTTCGGACTATTTTGCTGTAATAGTACCCACCTTCACACCCTTTGGGAAAAACGTTGGCCAAAAACCCGGAACAAAATTTATTTTTATTAAACCGAGTATAGGTTACTGGCCGCTTCTTGCATTAGTGTCGGGTTGGGAGCAACCTCTCCCGTCTTCGCATTGGCCACACTCGCCCACATTCATCTTACTCATGGGTATCTTATGGAGAGGCACCCTGTTCCTCTCTGTGAGAAGTGTCAGGTTTCAGTATTGGTTACCCACATTCTGTTAGACTGCTCTCTCTGTCAACGAGCACGCAGAATTTACCTCCATCGTCGTCTCTGCTCTATTGCTCTCTCTTTACCTTCCCTTCTTGCTGATGGACCCTCCTTTAATCCTGACTCTCTCATTGACTTCTTGACAACAACTGATTTACTCCACAAACTTTGATAATGATACCTTTTGCACTCCCCTCAGCCCTTTCTACCTCAATCTCTTGTTACCCTCTACCCCTGCACTATCCACTGCCCCGCTGTTCTCTGTAACCTACTAATCATCCCTCTCCCTTTTGCCACCTGATACCCTCGCTTCCTTTCTGCCCTGCAGCGCTGTATAGCCCTTGTGGTTTAGCGCTTCTTTTTTATTATAATAATAATAATTGTCAGCAGATGGGTCTATGGAAGAAGAAGTGAACCTTAGAATTGAATTGATGAGGGAAAAAAATGAGTGATACATTGAGGCATCTGTGGAGACGATATAATAATAAGTGGAGACGATATTATCCATGCAAACAAAATGGAAAATGTATGAAAGTACAGTGGTACTATCACTAATATGGGCATGAAGCATGGGCTGTGAATGCTGCAGCAAGGAGGAGGCTGGAGGCAGTAAAGATGTCTGACGGCAACGTGTGGTGTGATTATGCAGAGAATTCATAGCTTGGAGATTAGTATTATTCAGAGGGCTGAAGAGGGGTTGTTGAGGTGTTTCTGACATTTAGAGAGGATGGAACAAAATAGGATGACTTGGAAGACATAAATCTGTAGTGGAAGGAGGGGTAGAGGCCATCCTAGGAAAGGTTGGAGGGTAAAGGTTTTGTGTGCATGGGTAAGAGATAAGATAAGATAAGATAAGATTTCGTTCGGATTTTTAACCCCGGAGGGTTAGCCACCCAGGATAACCCAAGAAAGTCAGTGCGTCATCGAGGACTGTCTAACTTATTTCCATTGGGGTCCTTAATCTTGTCCCCCAGGATGCGACCCACACCAGTCGACTAACACCCAGGTACCTATTTGCTGCTAGGTGAACAGGACAACAGGTGTAAGGAAACATGTCGAATGTTTCCACCCGCCGGGAATCGAACCCGGGCCCTCCGTGTGTGAAGCGGGAGCTTTAGCCACCAGGCTTAGGGGCTTAGGCATCCAACATGCATGTTAGGTCCAAGTGGAAGTAAATAGTTTTTATGACTTAACGTGCTGTTGGAGTGTGAGCAAGGTAACATTTATGGAGGGATTCAGGAAAACCAGTTAGCTGGACTTAAGTTCTGGAGGTAGGAAGTACAGTGCCTGCACTCTGAAGGAGGGTTGGGGATACATGCAATTTTGAACTGTAGTATTGGAGCCCCTCTGGCAAGATTAATATTATATAACCAAGCACTGAACCCACAAGGATCACAGTGCTACATCCTCTGATGCCACGGTTCCCCGCGGCATATCTCGCTTCACATGGTGAGGGGTGGAAACATTGGGTGTGTTTCCTTACACTGGTTGTCTGTTTACTCATAAGTAATACTGGGTATCTGGGTGTTAGTCGACTGGTGTGGGTTGGATCCTGGGACAAAATTGACCTAATTTACCCGAATTGCTCTGTATAATAACCGGTTTTCTGTATAGTAGTATGTCATTGATGTCAGCTAGGTCTGTAATACCTTGTACGTGTACTTTTAGAATTAAAGAAATTATTATTATTTTCTGTTCTCAGGTCACCCTTCCTACGTGAGAGACGACTGGTTTGTTAATATATATATATATATATATATATATGTCGTGCCGAATATGTAAAACTGGTCAATTAGAAAGAACTCATTTAAAATTAAGTCCTTTCTGAAATTTTCTCTTATACGTTTAAAGATACATTTTTTTCATTAATGTTAATGTAAAAAAATTTAATTTTGCTCCAAAAGAATCTTAGAAAACTTACCTAACCTTATTATAACAAGAACAATTTATTTTAGCCTAACCCAACTAAATATATTTTAGATTTGTTTACAGTAATTTAATACTAAACAAACACAGTGAAATTTTTTTTTTTCGTTAGGTTCAGAATGATTTTGGCGAAATTATTGCATACACAAATTTTCTCTTGTCCTATATGGCAAGATGAACGTTGCTATTTAAGCCAAGATCGCAAATTCTGCCTATTGTGCCCTAGCGGGCACAACAGAATCTCTCCTAGAGGACATCAGTAAAATTAAATACATGGGAGAAAGCCTGGGCCGTTCTTTAAACCCCACCAAATGTGAAATAGTTTCTACCAATCAACAGATGATCCAGAATATTAGCGCCGTTTTACCAGGAGCACGAGCCATTGATCCAGCCAATAGCACTCTCCTTGGTGCTCCTCTTGGGTCCAATGCCATCGATCTGATCCTAGAAAAAAAAGTCTCAGACCTCCGGACGATGGAAAGCAGGATGAAAGACATTGACACACACGATGCCTTCTACCTACTCACCAGGTGCCTGTCAATCCCAAAACTTACCTACTTTCTGAGATGCTCCCCAGCCTTCAGCAGTCCAAAACTCAAGGAATATGACTCTCTCCTTATGACCACGCTAGAGAGTGTATTGAATCTTTCCCTTGAAGATGGACAGTGGTTGCAAGCCTCACTTCCGGTCAGGCTTGGAGGGCTGGGAGTACGCAGATCCTCCCAGATTGCTCTACCAGCTTTCCTATCCTCTTCCATAGCATCAAACGAGTTGATAAGACAAATTCTTCCTGATACCCTCAGCGACTCAGCAGGAATAGAAGACCCTAGCTATGCCAGTGCCATCACTGAATGGGAGACTCTTGCTGCTCCAGCACCAAACCCTAGTGCAGCACTGGCTCACAAACAGTCAAGCTGGGATGGCCCGATCGCTGAAAAGGTGCTTGCCAACATACTCGGGGCTGCAACATCAGATAGGGAGATTGCCCATCTCCAGGCTGTGAGTGCACATCATTCCAGGGACTTCCTCCAAACAGTTCCTATATCGGCAATGGGAATGCGACTCGACCCTAAGACCCTCCGTATTGCAGTGGCTCTGCGCCTTGCTGCCCCAATTCACACAGAATATGCGTGTATTTGTGGCGAAGCGCAAGCAGACCAATACGGTCTACATGGTCTTAACTGTTCCAAAACCAAGGGCTGGCATGCAAGACACAATGAGGTCAACGACATCATTAAGAGAACCCTTGCTACAGCTGGATGCCCAGCCGAGAGGGAGCCCCGATCACTAGCAGCCAACAATACCCACAACTCAGCAAACCGCCCCGATGGGATCACCATCTATTCTTGGAAGAATGGCAAGCTCTTAGCATGAGACTATACCTGTGTGTCTACACTGGCGGACACCTATATCCATCACAGTGTGGGGCGACAGGGAGGAGCTGCTGACCACAGGGAGGAGTACAAGATCAGCAAGTACAGGAAAATAAGCCAACAGTATCAATTTGTCCCAGTGGGATCAGAGACCTTGGGATCATGGGGAAAAATGCCACACGTTTCCTTAAAGAATTGGGTTTCAGACTCATCGACACCACCAGGGACCCAAGGGCAGCCGCTTTCATGTTCCAGTGCCTCAGCATAGCCATCCAGAGGGGAAATGCTTGCTGCATGCTTGGCTCGCATCCAGTCTCGGAGGAGCTGGAGGAAATTTATGATCTTTGATACATTGTGCCATTGTATTCATGTTTGTTTTTTTCTGTAAATATATTTTGTTTATTAATAAATGTTCACATAGAATATAAAATATATAGGGGGTGGTAGGAGAAGAAAATATTCAAACAGCTCCGGGGAGAACCTTGAGTTTTCTCTGAGGTACGTTTATTGTCTTCTCTGAGGATGAGGGTCCCCATTCCAGCTATAGAGGTGGTACTTCCCTATAGATTGTTTATGTTAAATATATATATATATATATATATATATATATATATATATATATATATATATATATATATATATATGTGTGTGTGTGTGTGTGTGTGTGTGTGTGTGTGTGTGTGTGTGTGTGTGTGTGTGTGTTTATATTTATTTTTATATTTCTCATTTTTTATTTATTGTTTATTTTTATTTCAATTTTTATTTTAAGTGGCAACAAAACTGCAGATATATTTAATATCTGTATCCTTCCAGCTATAAAGGATGATGAGTTTATTTAGGTACAGGTACACATATATACAGTTACACAAATTATCATACATAAGTAAAATATGTATAAATTAACTAGGAAAAACCCCTAAAAAAGTCGAAATGACTTGCTTCCATTGGGAATTTTTCGCAAGCTACGATATGCAGCAGGCATGAAATTTCGTACACTTTCACTGCAGTTTTTCTGCACAGTTTACTGACACCCATGCCCTTATATTTATTGCTAGGTGAGCACAGCAGATATAAAGATCCTAGGCCATACATCATCTCAGTCCTGTGTGGTTGGTGGTAAATAACGTTAAAGGCAACATGGCAACCAGTGTGTGGTGGCTGCGGCGCAGCTGAGCTCACTGTGAGCTGACACAGTGATCACTCCAGTACCAGAGCACTTGTATCTGCCTCACGTGTCTTGCTCTAGTCTTCTTTTTATACCACTGTGTTCATGGAGGTGGAAGGAGAGAAGGCCATGGAAGTGGCCGAGGACGTGGGCCATGCCTATGGCGACTGGTTCAAAAGATATATGCGCCTGTTTTGTAGAAGGTTTTTGGAGTGGTTCCTGGTTTATTTGTTCGGCTACTACAACGTCAGCTTTGGGTGGCTCATGGCGCCTCTCTTCTTCCTTGTTCTGAGGGATAAAAGAGCCAAGGAAAAGCAAACTAAGTTTGACATAATACGATCGATCGCCAACGCTGACGAGAAGGATATTCTTCAGGAGATCCAGCGATTCTCTAACCTGCCGTCTTGGGTAAGTAGCCCACAGCTGCTCAAGATATCATCTTGCCCTCCACAAAATTACTGTCATGCTATTAGTGATATATTCATAGGCTATAATTATTCTGTTCTTGTCTCGGAACTGTTATTCAGCTGCTTGCTACCATGTAGTGTCTATCAGCTCTTACCATTTAAAGCCTCTCAATCTACAGGAAAAAACATCATTCAGGGGAGGCAGGTGCCTTGATGCCATTGCGAGGCGCTTGATCCAAGGAACTGGACATATCTTCCTTTGGATCGAATCAGATTGCCTTCCATTCACCAAGGCGTAGGATGACCCCTATGAGTTTTATTGCTCTTCCATGAATAATAATGCATAACACCCAGATTCACCGTTGTATACCTGAAGGGTGTTCCGGGGGTCATCTCTCCCCGCAGACCTGTCCATGACCAGGTCTCGCGGTGGATCAGGGCCTGTTCAACCAGGCTATTACTGCCAGGCTGGTCAGGTACTGACTTTAAAGTGTGTTCCGTTCCTTCTTGACAGCTAGGAGTCTATTGGAATCCCCCTTACGGATGCTGGGAGGCAGTTGAACAGTCTTGAACCTCTTAACTCTTATTTTGTTATTTCTTAGTGTATTCGTGGCACCCCTGTTTTTCATCGAGATTTTGCTGCACCGACTGTCGAATCTTGCTTTTGTAGGAAATGATTTCCGTTTGTAGATTTGAGACTAGTCCCTCTAGGATTTTCGAAGTGTATATTATCATGTATCTTTCTCGCCTGCGTTCCAAGGAGTACAGATCAAGGGACTTCAAAGGTTTCAAAAGGGGCCGTTAGTATACAACAGTATTCCAGAATAGAGAGAATAAGTGATTTAAAGAGAATTATTATTGGTTTGGCATCCATTGTTTTGAAGGTTCTCATTATCTATCCAATCATTTTCCTGGTAGATGTGATAAAAAAAAACCATACCACGGGTTGGGATAGAACCCACGGTCATAAAACTCTACACCGACGCGTTGCGATAAAACTATTGACTCACGAAATCATAATGACACGAATGCTTGCATTTGTGGTCACAGTGGTGCCTATGCTAACCTTCCTATGGTGTAGAAATATACCTAGTTGGACGAATCTTATTGTGGCTAGCTGGTCCAGTGGCTAACGCGACGGTCTGGAGTTTTGAGACTGACCGCGGGATCAAACCCCACCCGTGGTATGGTTTATAAGACATTATCACTGTCGAGTCTTTCACAGTAGTTTCACAATGTTTTCTGAGGCCCACATAAATACTTAGTTTACTAATAATTTGTAGATGATTTGTTGTAATATGTAATTTGCGAGTAAGGTAATCTTTTTTTTTTTGTGAAGAGTGCTGCTATATGAAATTCTTATGTGATGAACTCCCACACACACACACACCCTCCACACACTCCCCCCCACACTACCCCCACAAACACTATCCCCTCAAACACACTACCCCCACAGACACACTATCCCCACAAACACACTACCCCCACAGACACACTACCCCCCCCCCTCACACACCTCACTCAAGGAAAAAGATCTTGGGGTGAGTATAACACCAGGCACATCTGAAGCGCACATCAACCAAATAACTGCTGCAGCATATGGGCGCCTAGCAAACCTCAGAACAGCATTCCGACATCTTAATAAGGAATCGTTCAGGACCCTGTACACCGTGTACGTTAGGCCCATATTGGAGTATGCAGCACCAGTTTGGAACCCACACCTAGCCAAGCACGTAAAGAAACTAGAGAAAGTGCAAAGGTTGCAACAAGACTAGTCCCAGAGCTAAGAGGTATGTCCTACGAGGAGAGGTTAAGGGAAATCAACCTGACGACACTGGAGGACAGGAGAGATAGGGGGACATGATAACGACATACAAAATACTGAGAGGAATTGACAAGGTGGACAAAGACAGGATGTTCCAGAGATTGGACACAGTAACAAGGGGACACAGTTGGAAGCTGAAAACACAGATGAATCACAGGGATGTTAGGAAGTATTTCTTCAACCACAGAGTAGTCAGTAAGTGGAATAGTTTGGGAAGTGATGTAGTGGAGGCAGGATCCATACATAGCTTTAAGCAGAGGTATGATAAAGCTCACGGCTCAGGGAGTGACTAGTAGCGATCAGTGAAGAGGCGGGGCCAGGAGCTCGGACTCGACCCCCGCAACCTCAACTAGGTGAGTACAACTAGGTGAGTACACACACACACACACACACACTACCTCTACACACACTACTCCCACACAAACACTACTCCCACAAACACTACCCCCACAAACACTGCCCCACACACACTACCCCCCAACACACACATTGAGGATACGGCAAAGCTCCAAGAAGATATAAACCAAGCTTTCCAATGGGCAACAGAGAACAATATGATGTTCAATGAAGACAAATTCCAACTACTCCGTTATGGAAAACTAGAGGAAATAATAACTAGGACTGAGTATACTACAAACTCTAATCATACAGTAGAGCGGAAAAGTAATGTGAAGAACCTGGGTGTGGTAATGTCCGAAGACTTCACCTTCAAGGATCACAACAATGGCACTATCACATCTGCGAGGAAACTGATAGGATGGATAATGAGAACATTCAAGACAAGGGATGCTAAGCCAATGATGATCCCTTGTAAATCACTTATTCTCTCCAGGCTGAAATACTGTTGTACATTAACATCCCCATTCAAGGCAGGTGAAATTGCAGAACTAGAGAATGTACAGAGAACCTTTACTGCACGTATAAGTTCCATCAAACACCTTAACTACTGGGAGCGCCTGGAAGCACTTGACTTGTACTCACTGGAGCGCAGGCGAGAGAGATGTATCATAATCTACACCTGGAAGATTCTGGAGGGACTGGTCCCTAATATGCACACAGCAATCACTCCATACGAAAGCAAAAGACTTGGCAAGCGATGCAACATACCCCCAGTGAAAAGTAGAGGCGTCACTGGTACACTAAGAGAAAACGCAATAAGTGTCCGGGGCCCAAGACTGTTCAACAGCCTCCCACCAGCAATAAGAGCATTACCAGAAGACCCTTGATTGTCTTCAAGAGGGAGCTGGATAGATACCTAAAGACGGTGCCGGATCAGCCGGGCTGTGGTTCGTACGTTGGATTGCGTGCGGCCAGCAGTAACAGCCTCGTTGATCAGGCCCTGATCCACAGGTAGGCCTGGTCGTGGATCGGGCCGCGGGGGAGTTGATCCCCGGAATGCCCTCCAGGTAGACCCCCACATACAATACTCCCACAAACACTACCCTCAGTCGTCACGTGAGGTCACAGACCCTGAGCTGCTTTGGGGATTAGCGTGGACGGTTACAAAGCATGGCTTGCTTCTGCAGTGTTTTAAAAACTGAGTTTGGAGAGTTGAAGGAGGAGGTCTTGCTTCTCCAGGAGGAGATTAGGAGGCTGAAGGTCCACCTCAATGGGCCTGGGAGAGAGTGTGAGGTGGTTGGAGATGTGGGGATGAGGCTTCTAGCAGTGAGGTGCAGTCTGTCTCTCACTGTGAGGAGGCTGTAGGTGGGGAGGTAGCAACGGGTACCAGCAGTGAGGTGCAGCCCAGCACCTGCTACAAGTGGCGAGTTGTTCACAGTAATGGGAGGCGCATCAGAGTAAGGAAAGTTAAGAGTGAAGATCTGAAGGTAGGAAATCGCTTCTCTGTTCTCCAGGATGAATGTACTTCAGTGGCCAGTGAAGGTAAGGGTACTACTGCCCCTGCTAATGAAGGTAAGCGCATTCTTGTGGTTGGTGACTCTCAGGTAAGATATGTTGACCGTGCTTTTTGTAATAGGAATAAGAAGATGAGAGATAGAGTGTGCTTCCCTGGAGCTGGTGTTGGGGACATTGTCAACAGACTGGATAATATCATGTCAGGTAATGGGAACAAGCCCATTATCTGTCTCAGTGCTGGTGGAAATGATATTGGGAAGGGTAGGAGAGAAGAGGCTGCTAGATAAGTACAGGTCAGCTATAGATTTCATTAAGTCTAAGGGAGGGATCCCAATCATATGTAGCATCTTGCCTAGAAGGGGAGTAGGAAATGAATGGTTGTCTAGGGCAATTGGTGTAAATTGCTGGCTAGACAGATACTGCAAGGAACTTGCAATCCCATTCATTGACAACTGGAACAACTTTTATGGCAAACATGATATGTATGCAAGGGATGGGGTTCATCTCTCTGGGGCAGGGGTGGTAGCACTTGCAGACTCGATTGAGAAGGCCATTGGTGAAATGCCTATGATTTTAAACTGATGGAAGATAGAGGTATGGTGTGTGTGGGAAACAAGCAGGTTGCAACACTAGGGTTGGAAACAGTAAATGTATAAAAGGCATTCAGCATGAAGTTATAAATAAAGACAATAGAACAGGTCAGAAAACAAAAGGGGGACAGCAGAGGGCAGCAAGGGACTAGCTCCCTTAAGGTTTACTATACTAATAGCAGGAGTGTTAGAAATAAGATAGATGAGCTAAGATTAATTGCAAGTGCAGGAACATAGATATTATTGCTATAACAGAGACCTGGCTCAATCTGAAAGATAGAGAGATGCCATCTGAATGTCACATACAAGGCTATAAATTATTCCACACTGACAGGGTCAACAGGAAAGGTGGTGGAGTAGCGATGTATGTCAGAGACAATTTAAATTGTTGTGTTAGACAAGATATTAAATTAGAAGCGTCAGCCACTGAATCTGTTTGGTTACAGCTTCTCGAGGGCCGAGAAAAACTAATTTTGGGTGTGATTTACAGGGCCCCAAATCTTGATAGGGAGTGCAGTAAACTTCTATGGGACGAAATTCGTAAGGCATCTACATACGAAAATGTTGTGCTAATGGGAGATTTCAACTATAGACAGATTGACTGGAGCAATTTGACAGGAAATTTAGAGTCGGTGACTTTCTTGATACGATCCAGGATTGTTTTTTAAAACAGTTTGTGACAGAGCCAACTAGGGGAAATAAACCTCCTTGACTTGGTTCTTGCCAGTAGGG